TCTCCTAACGAAGATTGATAATATTTGGTACGCGTGTTTAGGGTGTTCAAATAATCTGGCTATCAGAAGAACTGAAAGTTGAGTTGGATTATAAAATATTCAATTTGAGTTAGATTGATTAAGAAAAAAAGAAACCGATTTGACTCATAGATTAAGAAAATTTTTATTGATTTAACTTGAACGGAAAGACTCCTATATTATAATAATAATAATAATAATAAATCTTTTAAGATATCTCTACCTTCCTTACTCTCTCGTTTTCTTGTTGCACCACCCTTCATTTCTCTCTCTTGCTTTAATGATAAGGAATGTAAAAATTTAAATTTATCGTCATCTTTCATTATCTTAAAAAAAAAATCTTGAGTTATAATTTAAAAATTGGGATAAGTATACAACTATAGCCTATTTGAGGATTCAAATTACAAATTTGACTTTAACTTTTAACCATTTACAACATTGTCTAAAGATTGACCTATTAGGGATGAAATTCATAAGAAAATTATCTAGGTACTTTGTAATATATATTCAATAAACAAAAAACCACAAAATAAAACATGAAATAAAATTTGTATTTGGACGGTTTCTCTAAAATTTGTTTGAAATACCTAAAATTGTGCGGCCTATGTTTCTCATTTAATCGAAAATCTAATATCTCTCAAATATAAACAACGGTGACCTAGAAGACTGCCAGTGTATAAGGTATTTTTCGGTCGAGTCCTTAATATTTTTCGACAGATTCCTTAGTCTTTTTGGACAAATTTCTTGATGTTTTCCAACATAATACAACTAGCGCACAAGTCCCCCTTGTCGTAGTCGACTCTCTAGTCATCAGACTTGGCCGAAACAGACCATAGACTCTCCAACTCCCATAAAGACAACTATTGTGTATGCATATAGGTGGTGCATATTAAATTTTCTTTCCTATATTTTGATTCTATTTATTAATTTCATGGGTCATTAGTATTAGCGTTGATATATATATATATATATATAATGCACAATGTCGTTTGAGAGCATATATTATAGGTTATATATTACCAACTGCGATGTTGGATTATATATGTATTTAATTTGGTTGGATTTTTATTTGGATGGTGATGCACATATAATTTTTTTGTTTGCAATTATTTTTAATGTTGTATATACAAGTATATATAAATTTTTTATATTTTCATAAAGTCTTATTATATTGTACATTTATATTAACATCTTCATAATATTGAAATTTTATACACATCAACCTTTATCAATCATAATATAAAAATAGTTAGAAAAGTTACAATAATCTCTCTTAAAATTGTTAGAGGTTTAAATCCCCTCTCATCCCTATTTGAATTCAAAAGAAAAAAAGATAAATTTATTTGTAGTACCAAATATTATCAACAATGTTAGCGAGAAAGTAGATCCAACCTTTCCCTTAGCATAAGCATTAAGTCAATGTTAATTTATTTTTGTAAAAGAATCCACGTTAAGACTATAAATTAATTAAAGGTTGCTCATTCATTCATTCTTTAACAGACAACTTTTTCGCAATATAGTGAAAAAGAACTATAAATTATAGCAAATACATAGAGGCCAATGAAGAGTCAACACACGCACATCAGAAAGTAAAGGAAACAAAACCCAGATCAGATCAGACACGTATTTGTAATCTTAAAAAGAAAAGAAAAAAAAAAGGTGATAAAATCCAGAAAAATATGCAGTAGTCTCCACGAAACCCAAGTTTAATTGTTGACTTTCCTGCAAGTTTTTCTGATCTCTCCAGTGGAGCCGGTCAACGGCGAGATATTGCTCATCTTGATCATAGATTTGGCGAATTGCTGGAAGAACGCCTCGCTGTCTTCTCCATATTTCTTAACCAAAGCAGCCGACATGTCGTTTCCGGTGAGGAGAACTTGGTCGGAGTTGAGGAGCCCTTTGTAAGCAACTATGTTCCTGAAATAGCTGTTGTCGAACTTTGTCGGGCTGAACAAGTCCAGAAAAAACAGGTTGTTGTCTCCGCCTGATCTCGGGCACCGCCCCCGGAGCTCCGCCGCATACGGCTGCGGAAGGGTCTTGTCCGGTTGCCCGTTGCCGTTCTGGTTGTACAGCCTCTGCCTGAAGCTGGTGCACCTCGAATTTCCTATGGTGTGCCCTCCTGCATCCAAATTTCAAAGCTTTTTATTTTTTTCTCAATAAAATGACGATACTCGATTGGGTGACTATTTTGACTCATCGATATTGACCCAATCCTATTTTTTGATCTAGAGTACGGTGAAACATTTTTTAACTCTAAGTCTATATGATTTCAGTGTTCAAGATTTCATTTTAAAATTTCAATAAAAGGAAGAGTCGACTTACGTTGTAAATTTTTGTTAAGTTCATTTCATTGGAATTTGGGATCCTAATTGATGTGACGTGTTTATAGTTAAAAAGAAAAAAAAAAGAACTTTACCAGATAAGGCAACAAGATCAACGATGTCAAGGCCTTGGTTTTGGAATCTTGAGAGAATGGTTTGGAAAGTGTTATTTGGAGCTGGAATGTTGTTGTTGGACCCACTCAAACTTGCACTTCTGGAGTCCTTCCTCCCCAATGGGACCTCCCAATAGGGTCCACCCGTCTATCAAAGTCCAATTATATGAGTAAATTTCGTTAACATCAATATAATTCGACCATGAAAAAACAAAACAAAAGACAGCACTTACAATGACAGTGGAGTCTCTTGCAGCCAGAGCCAAGATATCAGCACAAGAAACAGTTTGTGGGCACTCTCTCTCCAGTGCAGATTTGATCTCATCAATCACCTCAAACCCTCTGGCAGAGTTCCTATTTGGGTTCGAGTTCTTTTCACTCTGAATGCTTCCACTACTATCCAATAGTAAAGATGCATCACACCCCTGAAACACACAATTATCACAATAAGTATGCAACTTTTAATTGCACCCCACTAAAAAAAGATAGTTTTTTGCTCTAAAGTGCATTTTATTAGAGGGTATGCATCTAAAACTTGTTAGAAGCCAAAAGAACAAAAAAGATGTTGCCCAAATGACCTGAACAAAACAGTCGTGGAAGTGAAGTCTAAGGATAGAAGCAGCAATACGAGCTTCTCTTGCAAAAGCCTTTGCCAGAATGGACTTCACTATGTCTTTAGCTTTGGGGCAGGAATGGTCATAAAACTGAGGGAACAGAGACCCATAGCCACCATTTCTACTACACAGACAAAGTGGAGCAAAAGCAAGCAAGGAAAGAACAAAGACACAGCTCAAAAGGTTGGCCATATTGAAATCTTTTTAGGACCAAAATTCTTTAACTTTGAAATGTAAATGCTTGCTGTGAAAGGAGTTGAAATGGGTATTGGGTATTTATAGAGGAGACTTTGTGGAAAGGTCGTGTCTGTTGAAAACAGGGGACACAAAGATAAATGGATTTGGTAGCTAACTTGCAGTGTAGGTAAGAGTTGGTAGCTTATTTTTTCTTGTGCTTTTTGTTAGTCCTGTCCATTATCAGCATGCTTAAGAATTTGGTTAAGTTGGAGACATGGTAAAGCCTGGAATTTTCTTACGATGATCGAAACGTTATCAAATAACTTTTTATATACATAGGATCCTTAGGCATGGCCTCTTCCCTAACGTTCTTGTTTATGGTTTCTATTTCTTCATTTTTAGTAAATAAAAATAGAATGGCGTGTTTCTTGATTTTACTTTGCATGGGCTTGTTGTTGACAAACTGAGAATGACATCTAAATCATTCCAAACTTACTTTAGAACAATGAATGTGTTCATTAAGTTTATCTTGTCAAACTTAGCTGCAGGCTCCATCAAAATATTGGCAACCTTTTCTAGTAAAATAATTTATGTGGGTGAGTTTGTCAATAGAGCAGGTGATGTTGAAGATTGTTCTTCTTTTGACCCTTTTTTTTTCCCTTATGCATTTTTTTCTTCATCTGATAATTAATATTTGGGAGACTTTATTGGGGGACTTTCAGTCCTCTCTTTGTTTCCTTCTTAGTTTCTAGAAAGCAAAAGTGAAGCTTGAAAATTCAAAAGGGAGAAGGCAAAGAAAGAGCATGGATTGGATTCTTTCAAAATCTCCTTCATTGACAACTGGTACCCACATCTAAAATTTTAATCTTACTACTTTTTTTTCTTTAATTTGATATTTTGTCATTTGTTGAGGTAATTTTATGGAGAAGGTAAATCTTAATTCTTCACTAAAGAAAGAAAAAGTCATTGTTTGTACTCTTTAATCATGTCAGCTCACAAAACTTTGGTAAATTATATCTAGTGCTAATGAATTGGAAGGATACAAAATTAGGCAACATAACCAACCAGATAATATAAGATAAGAAGACAAAAAAAAAAAAAAAAAAAAAAAAAGTTGTGGGGTAGCAGTTAGGACAACCACTTCTTTTGACCATATACTTCATAGGGACCCTAAACTCCAGTGAAAGATCATGTCAATTAATTTTTTATTGCTTATTCTTCAAATCAAAGAGCACAAATTATGCCTGTCAAATGTTCAACCTTGATTAAATGGTTCTGTTCAAACAACAAGAAGATTGATGCACAATTTCACTTGAGTAATAATTATATGATAGGTTTTTCTTTTTTTTTTTTTCATTTGGATATATCTCCGAGCGTTCAAACTAATTTTCATGCACTCCTTTTAATAGGAAAGTCGCTTATGGTCCATTGGCTTATTCTCGCTACTTGGTGGTCCTGGTTCATATCTCCCTCCAATTCTAACTTCGAACCTCCAAGCTTAAGGATATAATCTTTTCCCATTATGTTTATATGAAAATTGAGGTGAAGATTGCAATACTCCTAAAAACTGTGCAATTTGATGAAATTGAAAGTTTAGGGAAAAAATTGAGGTATGTTTTCAAGTTTAGTGTCAAGTATAATCTTTTTTTCCCATTACGTTTATATGAATTTGTGCATATGATATCAAAGTTTGGATCGCATGCAATTTAACTAATCTTATGGGACACTCGCTTCAATCTATTATATTTGGTTGCCAAAAAAATTTATAAGATAGATAATAGGTTGTATTCGTTCATATTGCTTGTCTTTTTCAAAATATATATCAGACACAAAATTCGATAACTTTTATTAATCATACAAAAAAAATAAAAGCAATGTTTTAAGAAATTATTTTAGCTCATGAAAATGCATTGAGCTTCTATGGTTCCTGTTATAGGGAGAAAATAGAGATCACTTAAGCAACCGAAAAGAGGAAAGAGAGCCGAAGAAGAAGCAAACCTGAAGGTAGGTAAGCGGGTCGGGACCCAAGGATTTGACGAATGTAAACCCTAGGAGGATTAGGGTTCGACCGATCCTAAACGAATTAGGGTCAACCATTATAAATACAAGGGTAAGCCAAACCCAAGAGGTATGCCTAACAACCCTACTCTTTATATCCGACTACTCCGATACTAACTTAGGCATCAAAGCCTGTGTGGTAAGCCACACCGATCCTAGTGTTGAACTGTTTTGCTCGGCAAGATCCCGGGAGGCAGAATTCTAGCATCAACGGTGCCCTTTTTTCTCATTGAATATTTGTCAAAAAAAATGATATAAAAGTAGTTCTTCAGGAACTTATTTTAGCTCTTGAAAAATACGTTGAGCTTCTATCTTTTTAATTTCATCAAATTAAGTTCAAAAATATTTTTTATTTTATTGTGTTAGAGATTTTTTAATTAAGTTCTAAATGTTTTGGTGTTAGGTTTCATTTTCTGGGAGCTCGAGGCCATTCTTAATTTGGCGTTGGAGACCTTTCTTAGCTTGATTTGATGTTCTAGTAGTAGGATTTATTGATTAATTCGTAAGAAAACTTATATTTAATTTTGAAAATATATTTAAAGTTCGATTTGATTCAATTAAAAGTTTAAAGTTAAATCTTTCCAAAGTAAATTCAAAGTAACTATCTAATTCATAAATCCTTAGAAACTCAAAGTAAAAAGGTCAAATTATATCTTATTCATACTTTTTAATGATAAATGTCAATACTACTAATATTTCGTAACGATACGAGCATAGTATAATTGGTTGAGACATTACTTCCCTTGGATTGTGATGAATATGTTTATCGCTACAAAAACTAAGCTTGGCCTAAAATCCTGACCCAATGAGGGCTACGACTAAGCCATCCCTCTTGCCTATATTCCTTAATCCAATGGCGTACCACCAAATTCCTCTGGTAAACTTGCTAAGAGATGCAAAACTGAAACCAAGAGACATTCATATTGAACCATAATTTTTCTCAGATGCTGTCCATGTCCGTCGAGAAGAAGATGGTGGGTGTTCCCAGGAGGCATCACTGACGAACGCGTCGTTGACGCCTTCCGCTCTCGGGTAGCTTTGTCCTCCTCCACTTACCTAATTTCATGGATACAAATTGAAACATGTCAAAAATTCAGCTCAGTACTGAGGCAGAAGAATAAACAAATCTTGAAAAGACAAAGTATAAAGCCACTAGCCAGTTTCACGGAAGAAATGAGAAGAAAAGAAACTTCAACGCCTTCCCTTTTCATGCTTGGAAAAAGCTCCAAAGATGAGATGACATAAATGCATATTCTAATGTCAACGAAGAAGAATGACTAGCAAACAGAATAAGATGCTCCAAAGGGAACTTTTTGGTTTCTTGAAATAATGGTTGCATTCAGGAGAACAAGAAATATGGCAATATGGCATTACATCAGAAAGAGGGCTGTAAACTTACAGTTTCCAAGCAAGCGGATAACAGTGTCATGCCGGGTAATGCATCGATTCCATGCTGCACGCAACCGACTCAACATAAATATCGAAAAACAACATTACATTTCACAGAAAAGATCTTCAGATCGCAATGGCACGGAAAAATATCTTACCTGGCCTTGCACTTTGGCCTTATAAACAAACCCTCCACAACAAAGTAGTGATGCTACGACCATGAATCTGCTCATGCCCAATTTTTTGAGGCACCAAAACCATAAAAATATATTTTAAACAGGGCATTGAAAGCTAATGTAGGACTTATTTTCTATCTGATCAGATATTGCAGCTAAATCGGGCCACTTCAGTCAAGCCCACTATGAATCATGACCATTGTAATATTCTCTAAGCCACCCAAAACATGCATGGGGAGACCCGGGACCCAATTACTTTGTAGAAAGAAATCAGACTATACAGCACCACCCCAACTTTTTTAACACCTGAAGATCTAGATACTTCACAGACGGATGATAATAAGTACTTGTGCTGTGTACGCACGCAGAAGATTAAGAAGAAAAAATTGGCATACATGCAAGAGAGTATCCCAAATGTCGCCCATCCTTTAATAGATTCTCCTAGTCGGTCCTGCCTATTTTCTGCAAAATATGAAACTCAAAGCTAGTTTTAGGTTTAATTTTCAGCGTGGAAAGAAAATAACAATCATGACAGACAATGTTCGATTTCTAGAATTTACACTAAATGCAGTTCTTACTACAACTTCAAATTAAAGGGATTGCATGGTTGATATCTTTCATGAGAGAGAGATTCTCACCACACATTTTGGTAAGAAAAAAACTAATTGGTTCATAATCAGCCACAGGGACCGTGATGTTAACTTCATATGGAATGTCCCTGGCAATATCACCTGAGATAATGACAGGTTTATGACAATACGAAGATTACAAATATTGATAAGTTATCAAGAATTCCATAGTAAAAAAACACACATACATCTCCAGTCAATCATCAACATGGAGGGTGACAAAGTTGTAGGGTAGCTCCCAGTTGCCCCTGAGCCTGATACTTTCACATCTAGTCCAATTTCTGGAAAAACCTGCAAATGTTTTGATCAAATTGCATCAGCCACAAAAAGTATCGATTTTTTTTATTCTTCATTCAACTGACTATGAATTCAATACCTGAATGATTGGTCTATGTACCAAAGAGGAAAGTGATGAAATTGCAGTCATATAAAGAACCACACGAGTCTGCTCTGTGCTAAAGCTGAAGATGTAAACGTGAGATTTTAAGGTTTCTTATCAAAAAAGGAAAAGTAAACGTGAGATTTAATAACTAAGATGACTAGATCAACCATCATAATCAAAGAGACAGAATACAATGAAGGGTTAAAGACAGTGGACTTTACCCGAATGCATGGTGTGGCTTCTCGAAGCCTAATTGAGTCAAACCATTGTAAACCTGTGGTATTATTTAAGGTATATACTGGTAAATAATTCAATCAAATAATTCTTTTTTTTTTTCCTTTTTTTTCTATACCAACTTTAAACGACATAAGTTTCTTACAATTTCCCAGGATCGAGGGTGGAAACCAACAGTAAATCCTTTGAAAACACGTGGACCTTGTATCTCACAAGGGATGGCAAGATCAATAATAACTCTGAAGCAGATAACAGTTATAAGTGAGTTATCTTCTCAGTGCCAAGAGAACTTTCACCTTTAGAGAAATTTTGTCCCGAATGCCAGTGCACTATGAAGCATCCTTAATCAGCATTCTAAATTTGGGAATGTACTTGTCAATATTGACACTTTTTTATGTTTTCCTTCCATACAATATTTACAATCATTCAAGTTATTATTAATATTAGTGAAAACAAGACTGGTTTCCATGCTTCACTCACTACAACAAGATGGATTATGCAGGATAGAGATGATGTATGCCAGGTTTACATGTGGTTTACACTACAGAACTAACACGTAAAGTAACATTATTAAGAAATTTCTCAATCATGCTGATAAGCCCCCCGTCAATGTTTCTTGAATTCAAAGAAGGGAGCACAGGGGAGGCGGTGTAACTCAGTACAGGAAAAAATGCACGTGTTAAGGAGTGAGTGCAGTTCTGTGTTTTTCTGTGTAAGGGTTCTCCATGAATTGTTGGTTGAGAGTGGGGCCCAATCAAGGAGTTAGATGTGGAGTGACATTTATAATAAAATAGGAGGGTGTATTAAAAAGAGAATGCAGGAAAGAGACAGGTACAAATTTGGACAGTGCTTGGGAGAGACGGGTTCTCCAATTCCTGTAACAGTGAGCTGAATTTCCACTTAATACAATAATAGCAATCAGGCCACTTGTTATCACAGGAAAACCAAGCAATACTGAATTTTAACCACTGCCATAAACTAGACTCAATAGTCTAATTAAGAACTTCAGATGACAGATTCTTTACTTTCAAGTTTTATACTATTCTCTTCGCTTTTGTAAAAGGAAGTACTTAGGCCAGCCAACAACAAATAAGCACTTGAAAGAAACAACCATGCATGATTTTCAAGAAGATTTTGCACCGATGCTTCAGAAGAAGAAGAAAGTTTCCATTCAGCTACTCATGTTCTACACAAAGTTCTATGAATTTCAATAAATAAGCCTTGTCTTTACTCTTTAGTCTACCCATCATGAAAACCTTAAAATCATAATTCACGGATTGCATACATGTACAGATTCGGTAAATTGAAAAAATAACTCTTTAAAGAAATAAAGGTAATCGGTGCAGGACCTGCAATTGGACTCATAAGTGATATTGCAGATGCATCCCAGACCACCTATAATAAGATTGACGGAACGTATTATCATCAGTTGAAACATATTACAAGTGCACCAAGATCAAACATGTGCATACAATTCTCAGGAAAGGCAGATAGGAGCACTGCTCAAATAACTAAAAGATCTAAGAATCAGACAGTGCAAGATAATGAATATAGAATTTTAAAAAAATGCTAATAAAATAAATTAGGTAAATATGAAAGACAAGGGGTTCGTTGTTGCTGATGTTTAAGCTTCAGCCATAAGGTTTGGTCATGGCTGGATTGCTTCTCATTTTACTTTACCTTAATTTCCCCGTTTCAACTGTCTAACTGGAAACAATGATAAATGTTCAAGGATTTATAGAGTAAGAAATGTTGGATGGATCCTAATTTTAGGAGGAGTTTTGAGGAGGTTTGGTTGGAACAATAGCCGACTCTCACGAATGAGCAAGCTGCTCAGGTTTACAGGCTTTTGAATCCTTGGGATTCTAGACCTGCAAAGCTGTAAAATTCAGAAATCCACTTTTTACAATTTTGACTTTCAAGGTGGCTATACCCCCACCCATGAGCAAGAGCCAATGGAAGCGAAAAGTATCCTAAGCAAACTTGAAGTTTTTGCTTGAATTTTCCTCGGTGGTTCAAATTCTTGCAACCAAATTAAGTGTAGAAGAATTCTTATCAGTCGTCACCGAGTTAATGTAGCATGTGTCCATCTAGTTCTGAATATGCAAAATGTATTGTTTGAAAATGAATAATTTTCTTTAAAAAAGAAA